ATGGCAGAATAAAAGCAGTGACTTGCTTGAGCTCTCCCCTAAACCCCTCCAAATACCTGTAAAAAATGGTTCTAAACAAATTCTAAAGCAGCAGAATCCACAAAAAGACAGAGTGAAAAAAATTACCAGCCCAAGACAACCTGGATGGTTGATAAGAAAGGTATATCATGCCAGGCTGAGAGAGGAGCACAGTTTGGCGAGGGCACGCAGGCCTCAGAGGACTGAATCACAGGCAGCTGTGGCAGTTTCTCAACCTATGAACGCCAAAGACAACTTAGACGGTCAACAAGAAAATTCTGTGTCCACAGTGAGAGAGAGGTGCAGTCCCAGGCCCAGTCCCCAAGCTCATCCCCAGGGCAGTGGCTGCTTCCTGAGATTCAGGACCACAGACAGGAGGAATCCAGTGGCTGATCAGAGGGGGATTGCAGGGATCTCTCTGCTGGTGCAGGATTCTCTTGCTTTGCCTGTGCTTGGATCTGGGTCACAGTTCTGGGGCGAGAAGGAGTGCTGACATGGTGGAGTTTTTGTGGCTTTGCAGAGCAAATCCTCCTCACAGTTCCAAGACAGAAAAGAGTGCTTGTGGTCACTCACAGTCCAGAGCACAGGCCAGGAAAGGAGTAAACACCTCGCCTCTGATCATAGCACCTTGGAAGAACTGAAAATTTACAGGTCCCTAGAAGTATCTCTGAAAACAGCTGCATAAAACCCCCAAAGCTTGGGACAGTACATTCTCCATATTGGAAGCAGACTCCTACGTTAACAAAGAGTTTATAACTCAAGTAATTGGCTGGGATCATGAGCAAGCAATGCAAAAAGAGTCACACCATAGAATCTCACTTTGGTGACGAAGAAGATCAAAACATAAAACCAGAAGAAGACAACAAAGTCAAAACTCCTACATCCAAAGCCTCCAACAAAAATATGAATTGGTCCCAGGCCATGGAAGAGCTCTTAAGGGATTTTGAGAAGCAAGTAAGAGAAGCAGAGGAAAAACTCAGAGTGATGCTAAAGGAGACCCCAAAAAATACTGAAGAAAATAACACCTTAAAAAATAGCCTAACCCAAATGGCAAAAGAGGTCCAAAAAGCCAATGAGGAGAAGAATGCCCTAAAAAGCAAAATTGGCCAAATGGAAAAGGAAACCCAAAAGCTTGCTAAAGAAAATACTTCTTTTTTTTTTTGCTTTTAGGCAATTGGGGTTAAGTGACTTGCCCAGGGTCACACAGCTAGTAAGTGTCAAGTGTTTGGTCTGAGGCTGGAATTGAACTCAGGTCCTCCTGACTTCAGGGCCGGTGCTCTATCCATTGCGCCACCTAGCTGCCCCTTGAAGAAAATACTTCTTAAAAATTAGAATAGAGCAATTGGAGGCTGGTGACTTTATGAGAAATCAAGACACTGTAAAACAAATCCAATAGAATAAAAAATTAGAAAACAATGAGAAATATCTCATTGGAAAAATATAACTGACCTGGAAAATAGATCCAGGAGAGAGAATTTTAAAATTATTGGACTATCTGAAAGCCATGATCAAAAAAAGAGCCTAGACATCATCTTTCAAGAAATTCAAGGAAAATTGCCCTGATATTTTAGAACCAGACGGCAGAACAGAAATGGAAAGAATCCACCAATCTCCTCCTGAAAGAGATCCCCAAAGGAAAACTCTTAGGAATATTGTAGCCAAATTCCAGAGTTCCCAGGTCAAGGAGAAAACATTGCAAGCAGCCAGAAAGAAACAATTCAAGTATTATGGAAACACAATCAGGTTAACACAAGATTTAGCAGCTTCTACATTAAGGGACCACAGGGCTTGGAACATAATATTCCAGAGGGCAAAGGAGATAGGATTACAACCAAGAATCACCTATCCAGCAAAACTGAGCATAATCCTTCAGGGGAAAAAATGGATATTCAGTGAAATAGAGGACTTAAGCATTCTTGATGAAAAGACCAGAGCTGAATAGAAAATTTGACTTTCAGATACTAGACTCAAGAGAAACATGAAGAGGAAAACAGGAAAGGGAAATCAAAGGGGACTTATTAAGTTGGAACTGTTTACATTCTGCATGGAAAGATGATATCTGTAACTCATGAGTCCTTTGTCAGTATTAGAGTAGTTAGAGGGAGAAAAATTACATGTATGTGTATACAGATAGATAGAGGGCACAGGGTTAGTTGAAGATGAAGGGGTGATATCTGGAGAATAAAATTAAGGGGTGAGAGAAGATTATACAGAGAGACAGAGAAAGGGAGAGGTAGAATGGGGTAAACTATCTCACATAAAACAGATCAGAAAAGGCTTTTACAGTGGAGAGGAAACGGGGAAGGTGAGAGGGAATGAGTGAATCTTACTCTCATCGGACTTGGCTTAAGGAGAGAATAACATACACACTCAATTGGGTCTATCTTACCCTACATGAAAATGGGGGGAAAGGCAACAAGAGAGCAGGACGACGATAAAGGGGAGGGCAGACTGGGGGAGAAGGGTAATCAGAAGCAAACACTTCTGAGGAGGGACAGGGTCAAAAGAGAGAATAGAAAAAATGGGGGGCAGGATAGGATTAAGGGAAACATACTTAGTGTTTCACAACATGACTACTATGGAAGTGTTTTGCATGACTACACATGTATAACCTGTATGGAGTTGCTTGCCTTCTCAATGAGGGTGGATGAGGAGGGAGAGAGGGAGAAAATGTGGAACCCAAAGTTTTAAAAACAAAAATTTAAAAAAAAATGTTTTCACATGCAATGGGGAAATAAGATATGCAGGAAATGGGGTATAGAAATTTACCCTGCCCTAAAGGAAAATTGAAGGGGAAGGGGATAAGAGAAGGCGGGGGAGAGATAGAAAGGAGAGCAGATTAGGAGAAGGGGTATTCAGAACACATGCCATCTTGGGGTGGGGAGAGGGATGAGATGGGGAGAAAATTTAGAACTCAAAATCTTGTGGAAGTGAATGTTGAAAACTAAAAATAAATTAATCAAAACCTCTTAAAAAAAGAAAAAGAAAAAATTCAGACTTCTTCTCTGGTACAAAGGGAGGGCCAAAAGGTTTTGTGCAGATTTTCTGGACTGTCAGGGTGCCACCCCCCTAATTCCCAGGTTGTAGAAAGGGTAACCATATTTATATAGCACCTGAAGACCTGAAAAATGCTTTACACATATATAATGACCTCACTTCACCCTGACACCTCTTGTGAGGTAGGTTCTTTATTACTCTCATTTTATTGATGAGGAAATTGAGGCAGAAAGAAGTTAAGTGATTTATCCAAGACCACAGAGCCAAATAAATGTCTAAAGTAGCACTTGAACTCAGGTCTTCCTGACTTAATGTCTAATATTCTATCTACTGCATTACCTAGCTGTCTCAACAGGGCTAGATACCAGAATTCCTCTGCTCTTTCAGTTTTTGCAATTTTTCACATGAACTAAAACAAATAAATTCATGGTTTCTGTGGAAAAGTATTTACCTTTAAACTTAAGCAGTCTTCAACTCCTCTATGAAGTCCTACTCTGAAGCCACATTTTGATAAGGAGGAGACCCTGGATTCTAGCTCTTCTAAGTTCTAACATTCTGGAAAGGTTAGGTCCTGCATAAAAAGCTGAATCTGCCCTGGACAGAATCACAAACAGGAGACTGACCACTGGTAAAGAACTCTTTGGCTAGGGTAGGCCTGCACAACATATGGCCTGTGAGTCTGGTGGCCTGTGAAAAATGTAGAAGATGTAAAAGAAAGTAAAGATGTAACGAGTGCTTTGTCCATGCCCTGCTGACCCCACCTTCCACCAGTCACTACTGTGACTGTCACGTAACTTGGTGGGTCGCCACTGTGCGCTCTCTCACTTGTCACATGATCCATAGCAACCAACCGCTGTCAGTCTGCCTCTAGTCTGTGATTTCGCAATACATGAAAATTTTAAGTAATAAGTGTAATTATTTGATATTAACTGAAATTTCCCTTCTTTTTGATATGGTTTATTTGCAAAATGGTTAATCATTAATAATTATATCTTTACTTGGAAAGCGAGCCACTGAAAACCTATCTGTGGCCTGAAGAAGTTTAGCCTACTTTAATTTTGGCCCCTACCTATTGCCATGCTGTATAGGTCTGGGCTAGGGCATCTCATGAAACAAAGCTTTGACTGGCAGCAAACTTGATCTCACACCCTAAATGGACAGCTAGGTGGTTCAGCTGATAGAGTACTGGGTCTGGAGTCAGGAAGACCAGAGTTCAAATCCAGCCTATCAACACTCACGGGCAAGTCACTTAACTTGTTTGCCTCAGTTTCCTCAACTGTAAAATGGGGATAATAACATCACCTACTCTGCAAGTTGGTTTTCAGAATCAAATGAGATAATGATCGTAAAGCACTTAGCATAGTGCCTGGAACATAGTAGGCTCGATATAAGTGCTTACTGACTTCCTTTCCCCCTTCTCCTTATAAACATGAATCTAGTCACTAATTCTCCAAGAATATATTTTTTAAATGATAAAAATTAAAAGGAAGTCAAACTCAAGATAATTTTATAAAACAAACAAACAATGACGGCCCTGGAAATTAGATGATGAAATACAACCTCCACCTTTGAGCAGAGGACTGGGGGTACGACTGGGCTAAATACTGGTTATACTGTCAGATACAATCACTGTCTGGGGTGCTTTTGCTTCATTGCTTTTCTCCTTTACAAAGAAGGGTTCAGTTTTGAGGTGGGAGGTGGGGCAGAACTAATCAGAGAAGGGGATAAGAAATGTCAAATGAGGGGCAGCTAGGTGGCACAGTGGATAAAGCACTGGCCCTGAATTCAGGAGGACCTGAGTTCAAATTCAGTCTCAGACACGTAACAAGTACTAGCTGTGTGACCCTAGGCACTTAACCCTACTGCCTAGCCAAAAAAAAAAGAGCTAGAAATGTCAAATGATATTAAAAAAAAAAAAGACATCAATGAAACTCACCGCCCCCAAAATAATACATTTTTAAACAACCTGGAATAACTATAGTTTTCACAATGAACTCTCTCTAGGTTTATTTTATACCACCCAGGGGCAATTGCATGGTTGCAATTGCTTTATTCAATTCTGCGTGAAGAATGACGAAAAAACAAATTATATTATCTCTGAAATTAATTTATATACTATTTAATGACTAATGACTACTCCAAACCGTGAGGTTAGGGGAAACAAATGACATTTTTGCAATGAAATTCTGAGTAAGGTGGACAAGAAAGAAAGTGGGGAACCAGAATGAAGTGGGGGTTTTCTTTAGCTCTCAGAATCTCTTTTTACTGATGATCTTCGATGAACAGACAAGTATTTATTAAGCTCCCATCATATCCCAGGCACTGTGGGTAGGTGAGTGCTGGCCCTGGAATTAGCGTTCACACACTGGAAATGACTATTTCATTTAAAGGAAAATAAAACTAAAGCAGCATCTTCAAAATGAAATTGCAATTAAGAAAATCACCTCAACATTACAATAACTAATGGAGGAAAGGGAGTACTTTACAGAAAAGCCAATGTCCCAGCTTCCACATCTGTAAAATAAAGAGATTATACACTAGGTAAATTCTGGGGTCCCTTTCAGCTCTAACAAACTATGGCTTTCTACAACTCCATGGCAAAAACAATCTTAGTTTTCACAATTACAAGTGTATGCATAAGGGTAAAAAAATATCTCTTTGCTATCTAAGCTGTGAACTTACTGGGAAGAAACTATATTTAATCAACTATGTAATCCATACGCCCTACTTCATTCCTGTTACTCAGATGTTTAAAAGGACCACAAGTAGCACAGACAGCATGATAAACTCATCTTTCTATTTAAATTGAGAGAGACCTTACAATTTTTTTCTGCCTCACATATCACAACCCATAATAAGTGATTCTGGATTCAGCACTTATCAGGAAATTTTATAGATAATGGATGAAATAGAAGACAGTGCAGCTCACTCTTCCACAGCCATAATTCCTCTGTAGTGCTGGCAAAAGCAAAAGAAAAAAATATATATCAGCCAATAAACTAAGTAAATTTGATACCCAGGCTGCAGAGTTCAGATATATGCAACGAAAGGCAATTTTCTGGTTGCCAATCTGATTACAATCAATGATTGCTAACAAGATGGAAAGTTCTATATGGCTTCAGTTAAAGTTACTCGGGGTTGAAAGTTAAACAACAAAGGAGGATAGTCTCCTGCAAATGAAACACTTTTACAACTGGTGGAACTACTTCTGTACTTTTCTGGAAAATGAGGTTTGATCTACTTAAGTAGAACTGTAAATAAGCACCTTAAACTTCCTTCTCCATTCAAACAATTTTTAAAATTAGCCATTTTTTCTTTACCATCCTATGCCACCCTTAGAAAGCAAGCAACAAAATCAGCAGCCACACAGCTAGTACGTGTTACGTGTCTCAGGCTGGATTTGAACTCAGGTCCTCCTGAATTCAGGCCCGGTGCTTTATCCACTGCGCCACCCAGCTGCCCCTCATTTGACATTTCTTACCCCCTTCTCTGATTAGTTCTGCCCCACCTCCCACCTCAAAATTGAACCCTTCTTTGTAAAGGAGAAAAGCAATGAAGCAAAAGCACCCCAAACAGTGATCGTCTCTGACAGTCTTGTAGAAAATTTTTTTTTTCCTTTAAAGAAAGACTGAGTTTCCTACCTCAACCAGGCTAGTGGTGGAGGGGCTATGGGTCCAAATTCACTCTATTTGGCAAAGGAGCTTTGATCTACTCCATTTCCAACCTCCTTGGGCAGCCTGATGGCCCCCCAACTCCCACAGGCTCATCATATTGGTCCTGGACTTAGTGCATACAACCCACCGCAACTCAGAATTCTCAAGTTTGAAAGCTTCGCTGGCCTTTGTCTCCCCAGTAGGAGAGATTAAAGGTGTGTGCCACACGCTAGCCTCTGGCAGAAATTCTTACACATCAGAGGCATGCAGCACTTTAGAGGGCTGTACAAAGGTATTCAGGATACCAAACAGGTGGCATCTGCATGGCATAAATATATTGTCTGGCCTGCAATAAACTGTAACATAACTTGATCAAACCAGTAATTAGGTACTGAGAACCTACTACTTGCTCACCACTCTGCTGGGTGCCAGTGAGACAGACATCAACGCAACCGAGGTTCAGCCCTCCCTCAAAGAGTTTACCCCCTGAAATGATTATCGGACAGAGCGCTAAACAGGGAAGAAAATCAGTGTGGGATTCAGTTTGGAAAAGGTTTCATGAAAGGCGTAGCAAACATTTACATAGTGAAGAACTGCACACAACCAGTGTTTCAAAAGCTGGAATGCAATTTTAAAGCTCTATCAGTTTAGCACTGCATTCCAACTTTTGGAACACACTTTGCTACCTCATTTGAGCCCTACAATAACCCTTTGAAGTGGGTGGCCTTATTGTCAAGGACTGGCCACTGGCACAGCTAGCTGGTTTTTCTGACTCCAGGGCCAGGCCTCAACCCACCGTACCACCTGGCTGCCACACAAAGTTGGTGTTTAATAAATGTTTATTAAATGGAAGGTTCCTCTCAGTTATGACATTATTATTCCAAAGAGCTGGCACATAATAAATATTTTTCATCTGAAAAGAAAAAACAAATTTGAGACTATACAATAAGCTCTTTATTAAAAGAGCTTGCATCTTTGGATCAAATTAGTGGCCTCAAATCGAATTCCTTTCCCAACCTTGGAACAGTAGCTTTTAAATCACTTTTTTAGAAGTTTATACCATTTTGGATAAACAATCTCAAATTTTTTTGTTGATACAACTCATAACTTACTTCAACTGCCTAGCTATTCCTAATACTTAGCATGGTCCTTGGCACAAAATAAGTACTTACTAGATACTCACTGGCTGGCTGAGTGACTGACCAATAGACTTGTTATTGGTGTAACACACAGAGCTTGGCACTAGGGACACAAAGATGAATGATTATACGCTTCTCTCCCAAAAACAGAGCATAAAGTCCCAGGAAGGCTGAGACATGAATGTGTACATGTCAAAAACCATGGCAGAACCATCCTATCACTTTCACCTGGAAACCACAGAGGAGCAAATGCTGATGTCAGAGTTTTAGCCTATATTTCCTCACTCTTTACACCACATCTCTTTGATTTAATATTGCAATAGGTAGAGAAGACAACACCTGACTCAATGCCATGGGTAAAGTTCTGAGTTGTTAATACTTATCCTAAACATAAAAGCTGCTTTTGCCTCTTACTAATGCCACCTACTGGACAAGGCCAGTATTTTACCTTAAATTACACAACAGGAATTATCAAAACAATCCTAAAATTCATCCAGCAGGTGGCAATCTGAGACTACAATAGCTACAAAATAAGATTTACAGAATCTAAAACATGTGTAACTTACAAGCACATAAAAGCCCACCATCAAATGAATCAGAAGTTACTTTTCATTCTAGGATTTGTCCATTTTCACGTTCAAGTCAAAATGCTCCTATCTCAGTGACCTAAAAGTGTGCTCTCTCTCCTCAAAAAGAAGGGACTTGCAATTTTGTCATCAGAGAATCAAAGGCAGCGAGAACTCAGAGACCTTAGAGACTAGCTAATTTAACTTCCTCATTTCATAAATGAGGAAACTGAAGCCCAGAGAGGGAAATGTAGTTTGCACAAAGTGATGAGAACACAAATCTATCAAACAGATGTTTAGCAACCACCACATAGTAACACAAGACTGACTGTTGGAAGTGCCTCAGAATGGACCACAGAGATAGCAAGTCAGCACCTATTGCCCCGACTGACTTACCAGTTATAGTCTCCTATTATACTGATCGTCTGATCTGCATCAAAGGCCCAAGTGATTGGTCGCTCAGTGACCACTTGGCGTAAGGTAAAGGCATGGTCCCCCACCTGTTCGACATTGGTGAAGTACTCAAATACTCCTGTCTGATCAGCAAAATTCGGAGCTTCACTAAAAGGTGGATTACCTGTTTTGAAAATAAGGAAGTCATCATTTTTTTTATAAAAGTAAATAGTTTGGATTTACATTTCTAGTCATTCATGAAGCAATTTACAAAAAAAAAATCTTTCAACTAAAACAAATCATGCACATGTACATGTGTACAAAATACACATGTACATGAACACATGTATATTTGCATACACGCACACGCACGCGCGTACACACACACATATACACACACACAAACTGACCAGGGCTTAAAATTCTGTGTCAATAAAGAATTAGCAATTATTATGTTCTACGTAATGAGTTAAATGTATTACATTTTGTATAACAATTTTAACCTATTTTCTGAAATCACATATTCTTTTCCTTTACTAGGAGACAATCTCTGCAATCTGTTTCTAATGTCTTTTCAATGTACTTCTCAAGAGTCCTTTTCCTTGCAAAAATTTCAGGTTTCATTATATTATGTGTAGAAGGACCATAAAGAAGCTAAAACAGCTGGAAGTTAGGGGGGTTTTTCCCCATTCTTGAAAATGAATATAATGTAGTTTTTGTCTCAAGCTCCATCCATATCCACAAGACCATCTTTACTATTAAATAAGAGTCTCTCATACAGCAGTTCTAACAACATCTCACATTTTATATGTAAATTTTTACTTGTCAAAGTCTTCACGTTCATTACCTAATTTGAGTCTCACAGCAATATTGTAAGATGGTTTCAGGGATTACCTTTGAATGCTAACTTTCACAGCTTTAATAGCTAAATTAATAATAGCATCAGTTTTAGATCTGATGTTTCAGAATATAGCCTCATGGCTTCAGAAATGAGAGTAAAAACAGCTTCTGGAACAGCAGAAGTTCTACAAGTGTAACTAGCCCAAATCTCACACACTCATTGATAATCCATCAAAGTCAATGAAAGTTAAACTTCTACATAGAGAATTTGGGTTAATGAACTCTTCCAAAGAGATTCAAAACCGCTTTTTTAGAAAGTTTATCTAACCTGGCTGCTTCTAAGGGAGTTGTTCAATAAGCCACACTAAGTTTTCCTGAGCATTTGTGGACATCAAAGTGGGCTTCCATCATGATACCGCAACTAAGGACACCCAGGACAAGCAGTCCAAAGGGTGCAGAATTTCTCCTGATAGCCTCACAACAGCTCTCAGGTACACAACGTCAGTGTCATCTGGACTCTTCATTTTCACCCCACACATCCAAATCTTGTCCTTTCTACTTTTTTAAAATTAATTTATTTTAAAATTAATTACTAAAACAAATACACAATGAGAAAAGAAAAAGAAACATAATCAACTTAAATACTTAAAAACTTAAAACAAGAAAAGAAAAGAAAGCATTGCCACGTGCACAGCAGAATTTAAGAGAGGACTCAAAATTTCCATATCAAGAAAGCCTATATAATAAATACTACACATTGCGTTCAGGGCTATGCATCTTTTCTTTGCTTACTTATAAGTTTTCTTTTCTTCTCTGCTGTGCACTTTTTACTTTGTTCTTTTTTTCCTCCTTCCTATTCCCTTCCCCCAAGATATGCATGGAGATATATACATGTGTATGTGTGTGTATGTATGTATAAATGTGTGTTTGCATATATACCCACATACATATATCATACACCATACAAACGTGTGTATACATACATATACACATACATACATACACACACTTAGATATCTATAATCATAGTCATTTATAGACATGTAGTAAAACTGTACTATACTTATTTGTCCTCTGTTTCTCTGAGGATGGATAACCTCTTCATTGACAAGTCCAAGTCTTTCCATATTTTAAGTCCATCAACTCGTCATTTCCTACACCACAGCAATATTCCAGCCTTATATTGTCTAGCCTTTCTACTTTCACAGTACTCTCCCACTCATCCTTTCTCTCTGTTCACCTGGCCAGTACTTGGGTTGGAGCCCTCACCACCTCTAGCCTGGGCTATGACAATCATCTTCTAATTGGTCTTTTGCCTTCAGTCTCTCTTCATGCAATCCACCATCCATTCAGATGCTTAAGTGATCTTTCTGACGTGTGGAATTGACCATGTCACATTGCTACACTCCAGTGGTTCCCTATTAACTCCAGCAACAAATATAAAATTCTTCATTTGGCATCTAAATCTTTGTGTAACCTGGACCTTTTCTGCCTTTCCCATTTTCTTAGGCTCTACTCCCTTCCTCACTCTCTACAATCCAGCTACACTGGCCTATTAGCTGTTCTTCCCATTCAGTGCTCCATATCCCTCCCACCTGTGTCTCTCTGAATTGGCCATTCCCTCACACCTGCAATGTTCTTCTTTCTTACCTCTGCCTCTTAGTCTCCCTCAGTTAAATCCACCTAGCACAGGACATCTCTCCTAGTCCTTGCAGCATGGTAGTGCTTTCCCCTTTGAGATGAACTACTCTTTGGAGATCTTGTACACATTGTCTCCCCATGAGAATGTGAGCTCCTTGAGGGCAGTGATTGTTTTTAATCTTTCATTGCATTCTCAGCACATTGATCACAGTGAGTGGCACATTAATAAATACATTCTGATTGGTTTATTGCCAGTGACAGTAGGCAAGTCTCATAAGATCCCCTTGCCATAAAATTCATGCATCATCTAGTCAAACATGTATTCAAAGATAGGAAGATTAGAAGTCTTCAATGAAAGCTTAAGGTCAACTTTAGTCTTGCAAAGAGATAAAAAAAAAATTTTTAAACCTAGAGAATTAGCCCATTTATGACATATTTTACATTGACTTCATGATGAAAACAAACTGGTGTACGGCACCTGATTTAATTCTAAAAATAAAGACTACATTAAGACATTTTAAAAAAAGACTTACGAATATTGAAATCATCTTTATAGCTAGTTGGAAATGGTTGTGATACTGGAGGAATAGGATAACTGCCCTTCTGACCTGTAGTGATCGTTGTTAAAGTATATACTTCATCCACACCTAATTTTAATGTGACTGTGCCATTAGTAATCTGAAAGGAAAAGGGAAAATAATGGTTAAGTCCAAAGAGGGCTCCTACATGAACGGGCTTAAATCAGAAAAGGCTTCAGAGGCCTCTGGGAGAACTTTAGCAAGAACTTCCTCAGTGGCTGGAAGAATCAAACATGTTACCATAGGAAACTGTAGAGCTTCTTTCACTAGAGCATCTATGAAGAGCACAGAAAACCATCAGACAGTTAAGTTATGTTCTAAGAACAGACAAAAAAGAATCCTGCCTCAAGGAGGGAGAAGAAAGCAGTTGTGACTCAATGAAAATAAGGGGGAAGTGACTTGGCCGAGGTTAAACCAAGATCTTCTGAGACTACATCAGGTGTTCTTTTTTCTGCCGAATATGCTCAATGTTGTTGTTATTGTGGGTGTGGCTGAGTGGGTGAGTGAAGATATTCTCTATCCCTCCCTCGCTCCCTCCCCCTCTCTCCTTCCCTTCCCTTTGCCTCTCTCCCTCCTCCTCTGTATATTCTGCCTGTTCCTCCCTCCTTCTCTCCTTCCTCTCACTCTCTCTGTAGGTTCTGTCTGTCCCTCCCTTCTTTCATCTCCCTTCTCTCCCCCTCCCCCTCTTCCTATCCTTCTGTCCTCCTTCCTGCCTCCTGCCCCTTTCCCTCTCTCTGACATACACAAACTCTTTCCCCTACCCTCCTTCTCCTTCCCTTTCCCTCTTCCCCTTCAGGACCTGTACCTTCTACTTGTTTTATAACCATATCTATCTTTGTGACTCCATTAAGGTGAAAAAGACCATAAAATGCTATTGTTTACTCAGAATGTTAATTTAAATATTTCATACTTATCACAGTGAAAACATGAGTTTTAGGTCAGATTTATGACAGTGGTGTTTTTATGTGTTATATGTACACTTTGGAGCACATTGGGCTTCTTTTCAGAACAAATGCACAAAAATAATTTATGTCCATTTTATAGGACCTGGAGCAAAATTTTACTATTTTAAAGTGGACAGTTTACAGTTTTCATAGCTTTGCTTCTGTGATAAGTTATTAGTCACAGTTATGATTTCATGCCAAATCCTAGGTTCAGAACACAAGCCCTGATTAAGACGTTGCTACCATGGAAAAACAATCTATTTTATGACAATCCACTTCACAAGTTTGTTTCCAGGCACAGACCACATCAAAGTGAAGACTGTACACACAACATGTTACACACAGAGGACAGTGCTAAGACCAATAACTTAAGAGAGTCAAATTTCATCCACAGAGAAAGCAGACGAGATTCAAAAAGACAAAATGGTATGTTTGCTTGCAATGGACAGAACACAAAACCATACTCACTCAAAGGCCTGCTACGCCTTGAAAAGAGTTTTGCTTTCTATAAAATACAACTAATTCCTACCTTTAGAGGAGGTAGCTGTTTGAATAAGACGGAGGTATTCCCAGCTTGGCTCCCGAATTTGGAATACCATACCTGTAGCGTTCTTAATTCTTTCTGGGAAGAGAAAAGCATCAAAGAGATAAGAGGTTTCCTTAGGCTAGGCTAAGCCAGCCTTAGAATTTCCAAAATCAGCAACAACAAAAGGCAGACAATGTCAAAATACACTAAATTTACTAGACACCTTCAACTCTGAGAGGAAAATATAAGATTTTCTTTTCTCCACTGGACTCCTTCCCAACTGCAGAAAAAGACAACGCTAAACCTCTGAAAGTAGAATCAAAGAAGCAGTTGTAAAAGGTAGGATCTGATGTAACCATTTTTCATCAGTATTACAGAGACAGCCCGCATTCACTGAAATGACAGGCTTTGTTTGGGGTGCTAAGATTTCAGTGTCTGTCTCTGAGGGCTTGTGCAAATAAAGCAACATGTTTTGACAACAGTGGGTATGGAAGAGCTAATTTAACTCAGTTTGAATCTGTGACAGTGGCATATAAGTAATTTTTTCTGTCTTTAAGAACAGAAATAAACATGGGAAAGGACAAGGTGCAACTCTTTTATTCAATTGCTGCTACTCATAAGGAGTCTGGGTTTTCCATTTTCTATAGAAACAATATGAAATCTTAGCTATCTCTGAAAAAAGTCAAGGTCAAGGTTAAAAAGATTTCATTCACAGAAGTTTTATGCATAATCCTATTTTGTATAAGTAGCCTTTTAAATTCTGATTAACCAAGGGTTTACTGACGTCAACAGCCATGCTGCTAGCTATGCAAAGGTGTGTGTTTAAGAACTCCAAAGATGTTGTATGCTGTCTTCCCTTTCTAAACTCCAGCTTCATACTGCTTCATTTTAATAGCAATATATACATGGGAAATTTAGAAAAACAGGTCAGATTTGGGGGAAAAACAAACAAAAAAAATCTGGAATAGAATATTTAGTACCCTGTTAAAATGCCCATGTATAAAAGGTCAGTTTTAAGGTGTTATATATGCTTCACTTAATCTTCTGTAGAAAAAGTCAGTCTGAGAAACGTTAGGTTTTTTTCAGTCTTTAAATGCATTACTGTGTAGAAACTGCAGTAATCCTGTCTCTTCCTATGTACAAAGTTCTCAGGATAACCTTTCATGAAAGGGTTCATCCTAAGCAATTAATGAAATGGTTGTATTGTAATTAGTGTAATGGTTACATCATTACAAAAAACATCAAAGCACATGACCTTGTATTTCTTCTGGAACTACAAAAAAGACACTAAGCTAAGGTTATACTAAGTTTCTCTGCAAGGTGACTAATATTAGTCAGTCAAGAGATAATGAATGACTTCTGATACATTTGTCCTGTTACTACATGTATATATACTTACAAAGGATCCCTTAAGAGTGAAACTTGCAGTTTGTTCAGACACTCTGAAGAAAGGAAGAGGTGGCCTTATGCATTTTGAATGCTTATGAGTCTGGAAAGAAAAACAAACAATCCCAAATAAGATCTAAATTAGACATCCCCTGTTTAAAAAAAAAAAGAATAGTACTGACATTTGTGTGGCACTTTAAGGTTTATATTTTACATATGTTATTCCACTTAATCTTTACTAGTTAGGCACCATAACTATTGGTAACTCCATTTTACAGATAAGAAAACTGAGGCTCAGAAGTTTAATGGCTTGCCTATAGTCCCACAGGTCCCACAATGTCAAATGTGGATTACTCAACTACAATTCCGGCCTTATTTCTACTACACCAAGCTGTCTTTACTGCTATACTTTAAAAAGAAAAAGGAGTGGGCAGAAATAGTTAAATATTAATTGTTCCAAATCTCAGGATATCACAAGCTTAGCCATCCAAAATAAATTCACTTGAAAAACATATTTCATTAATCTCCCACTAATTTATGTCTATTTTCTTTAGCTCAACAGTAATTTTATGGAAAAGATTAAAAAAATAGTTAATTCTCAATTATATCTATCTACCTATAGGCAGAGAGATATAGATAATACAGATACGAAACAGATTTTTATTTTCAACAGGCACCAGCTTATCCCTTTCAGGTAGGTATGTGGCCACAAAGACATCCAATAGAGTAAATCACTCATGGGCGTCAAGTAAATCACACATACTGTCAGCCTTGGCTGACCTGTTGGTTAGTTTTGTTGAACTGTTTTTCTCCCCTCTCTCCCCACTTGTTTTGTTCATGAAACAGCCAGGAGGCCAGTGTCACTGGACCGAAGAGGTCGTGGAAGGGAGTAAGGTGTAAGAAGACTGGAAAAGAAGGAGGGGCCTACGTTATAAAAGGCTTTGAATGCCAGACAGGGCATTTTATATTTGCTCCCAGTGGCAATCAAGAGCCACTGGAGTTTACTAAGCAGAGGAGTGACATGATCAGAACTGAGTTTTAGGGAAATCACTTTCGTGGCTGAATAAAGGATGGATTAGAGTAGAGAGAAATTTGAGGCAGGTAGACCCACCATCAGACCAGACCACTGCAGTAATCCAGGCGGGCCTATTCTAGAGATGTTGCCAACGTGAAATCAATAAGTCTGGGACAACAGCTTGGATAGAGATAATGAGGAATCCAGGATGACTCCTAGGTGGTGAGCTTGAAAGAGTAGGAGGATGGCATTGCCCTCTACAGTAATAAGGAAGGTAGGAAAGGGGGGAGGGAGGATTTAGGAGGAAAGCTCTGTTTTACACATACTGAGTTTAAGATGTCTACTGGAAATCCAGTGGGAGAGTCGGTCTTTCAGACAGTTGGAAATGTGAGACCAGAGGTCAGGAGAGGTTAGGTCGATCTGAGAATCATCAGCCTAGAGATGGTAATGAAACCCATGGGAGCTGAGGAGATCACCAAGTGGAGCAATAAGGAGAAAGAAGAGAAAAGGGTCCAGGACAAAACCCTGAGGGACATCTATGGTTACAGGCTGTGATCTGGAGGAGGATCCAGCACAGGGGACAGAGGAGCAGTGAGATAAGTAGAAGAACCAAGAGAGAGTGGTGTCCCCCAATCCTAGAGAGAAGAGGTCACAGAGGAGGAGATGGCGATCAGCAATGTCAAAGGCTGCAGAGAAGCCCTCCTGGCTGGAGGCTGGAGATCAGGCAGGAAACTTCTTGGCAGGAGGCGGAAGGCCTGCCTCCAAATGACTTTCTTTTTCCCCTTTCCTTAAGAAACAATCACAGCAGCAGGCCTGAGGCCCACGGGAAGGCTGCTCCTCTTTGCATGGAGGTACTCCACATACCCCGCCCCAGGAGATCAGGCTGGAAGAAGGAGGCAGAAGCTGCCTTGTGCTGCCCCAGTTGGAAGCTGTTCCTCGCCCTCTCGCCTCCTTCCCTCTGAGCATACAGCAAGAGATGGAAGGCTCTGGATCAGAGGAAGGTCTCTACTTGCTTTTCCTTCTTTTTCTTTCATCCTTTTCATCAGAGACTTTAGTCAAGATGGACAGAATGGGAGATAACATCAAAGTATTTTGAGATACTGAGTAGGAAAGAAAAGAAGCTCACAGCAAATAGCCTCAATTTTCTCTATAAAGTATATTGTTCTTTTGCCTCTGCTCTCTTCTCTCTGCAACACTTCACACAAGTCTACTCAAATTGTTCTGAATTTTTCATATGGCACAGGAATAATTCATTATTCATATATGACAATTTATTCATCTACTTCCCAATCAATGAGAACATATTTTTCTTCCCAGGTTTTTGTTATCAAAAATAATGCTATGAAAAATTTTTATATGTAAGTGCTGTTCTTGGTGTCTATCTCCTCCTCCATATAAGATATTAGTAGTGGAACCTCTGGTCAAAGGATATGAATAATTAATTAATTTTTCTTGCATAACTGAAAACTGCTTTCCAGAATACCTGCACCAACAGGTTGGATTGCACTGAGAAAACTGCCCAATTCTGTTGTCTCCCCTGCCAGAAGCATACTCCTAAAGAAAGCCTTTCTCAATACCAGCATTCTTTTGGGGACACCATATTGTCAAGAATTCTAGAACACATTTCAAAAGAATTAAAACAACAACCTAAAGGGTAAACTGAAAGAAGGGCAGAGACTATAAGCCAGCATAAGCATGTTACCAATGATGACTTGCTGCGCCGTTCAACATTTTTACCAGTAAGTTGGATAATACCATAGATGGCACACTTCCAGATGACACAAAGCAGAGGTGGAAAGCTAATAAACTGAATAACTGACGCAGGATCCAAACAGATCATCAGGCAAAACAATTAGCCAAACTTAATATGATATTGATCAGAAATAAAAGTTCTACACCTGGATTCCAAAAAATCAACCACATCATTACAGAATAGGAAAGTTGCAGCCAGACAAGAGTTTATCTGGGAAATATCAGGGGGAGGCGGGGATTGGTTATATTCACTAGACCTCTCAATACATGAGCTCAAAATTAAATCAGTAGTGTGAAGTGACAGCTCCCCTCCCTGGCATTAAGAGGGGGCTATGTCCAGGGATATTATGTTCACTTCTCAATGCCACATTCTAGTAAGGACACTGACAAATTAGAGGGTCCAAAGAAAGGCAAAGTAGATGGTGAAGGTACTAAAAGTCATGTCACAAAGGACTGAAATGGAAAAAACAAACAAACAAACAAAAAACAACTGAGAATGTCTGTCCTGGAGAAATTTAAGAGCTGCCTTCAAGGCCTGAAGGATTGTCAAATAGAACAAATATACTGTCACATACACTTGCCCTACTCCACCTCAGGGGGCAAGGCAAAGAAGCAAATTTAAGCTTGGTATAGGGGCAAACTTCCTAACAATTAAAGTGGAATGGGCTCCCTCGAATAGTACGTTCCCCCTCAATGGAAGTTTTCAAACAAAGATTGGATGATGAATTGTCATGCCATTTAATAAAGGATCCTTGGTTAGGTATGGAGTTTTGTGTCATATATACACCCTCTGAGTTCCCTCCCACCTCTAAGAGTCAGAGTCTGTGATTCATCTTCAAGAAGCTGCATAAAATACATTCTCAAGGTTCTCTCTCATTCCCCGCACCCTCTCACGGCCAATCCAAGGTCCGTAACCTCTCTCCAACACACCCCTTTCTCACTTCTGACACTGCCCTCACTGCCTCACACCTGGATTACAACAGCCTACTGGTTGGTTTCCCTGCCTCGTGTCTCTCTCCACTCTAGTCCACCCACCACTCAGCTGTCAAAGTCATCGTACTAAAACCTGGGGTCTGACTACTCCACCCTCCTACTTCATAAACTCCAGTAGCTTCCTATCACCTCCAGCACCAAATATTAAGTCCCCTGTTTGGCATTCAAAGCCCTTCACAACCTGCATTTCCCTACATTTCCCATCTTCTTACCCTTCCTTCCATGACACACTCTGAGATCCAGTGACCAGCCTCTTTGCTGTTCCTCATACAAAACACTCCATCTCATGAATCCACTATATACAAAGGAAATTCTAAAGGAGTACAGAGAATGGAGGCAGGGTGGGAGTAGTCAGAAAACACTTCGCCTAACAGGCAAGATTTAAGCTGGTTACTAAAAAGAGAGGTAGAATTTAAGTTAGTGGAAAGAAAGGACATTCCAGGCAGGTGGTCAGGATATGAAACAAAGTCTGGGGCAGGGAAGTTTATATTTAGAGCCCAGCAATAACATTAACTTAGTGGAAAGAGAAGCCTAAGAAAAGAGGAATAAATAAAGAAAACCATTCTAGAAGTACTTCAACTGCTGTAGAAAACAAAGTTACATAACAAAAATACTTTATTTTAGTAAATACTAATCCTCTTTACAACAACCAGTTAATTAAATCAGTTTTAAAATCTTACCATGGTTTCTATGATAACAGTGAGGTTACCTAAGCCATCAGTAAGAGCTACATAGCTTCCACCGTCAAGTAAATGGCCAACTGTTTTCAGGTATTGCCATCCTGGCTGAGCAAACTGAGTGGTATGAGCTGTGGAAAGGCAGAAAGAAATTAAAAAACAAGAGCTCAAGGTTTGTTTTAGAAAAGAGATGAGCTTCATTCTGTGTTAACTTTTTTTTGTTCTAATTTAATTAGTTTTCTACTTGTGTAGAAATCATCTATCAAAAATCTTATTTCAACTTACTAAACAAAAACAATTAGCAATTTATTTCAGTTAAGTTTTGCTATCCCTGAATTCTAAATACCTTATCAACTGACTGGAGTTGCAAGCCACTGCACCGCACCCAAGACACACCCGCTGCAGGGCAGGGATCTTAGGGAGAGGGGATCAAAGTCCATTTTTGTATCCCCAGTGCCTAACAAAGTTGCAAAGAAAGTGCTCACTAAAAAGATATAATTATGCTCTTTCTAATTATAAGAAAAGTTAAACCCCAAGCGGTAATCTGGCCACTGCTAGTAAGTGGACTTGATTTAAATCAAGAAAGGACCAGCTAAACCAATCACTTCATTTTAAAGATGAGAAAATTAAGGCCAAAAAAAGTTAAATGATTTGTCCAACTTCACACAGGCAGTACTCAGTAACAGGTGCATTCAGAACATACCCTCTGAGTCTAAATTCAATCATCTCTGTACTATGGCAAATTCTGACTAAAATGTTGGTACTCTGATGTCTACTTAAATTCTGCACTGTTTCAATGACACCTAGCTGGTATTTTATAGCTCTAATCTGGAGTCTGGAAAATTACAGTAAATGTATTTAGCGTAGAATAAGAGGGAATGAGATACACTGTAAATGGTAACCATGGCTGGAACATGCATATAGCGTGAAACTTGTGTTGTATATCCAAAAGAAGGCAGCCAATTAGAAATTATTTTTGATGCCGAAGCATTGAGAAGACCTATGGTTTTAAGGAGAGGAAGAACCTATCTAGGGCACAGAAGGTAAAGTGGTGCTACAGATGAGGCTAGAGATGAAATGTATGAGCTGTCTGTCTCTTGTGATGGTTTGGAGAGTGAGTCCTTGCTCCCATATCAATGATATCTGTGCAGATGACTCTCTCTCTCACACTCTCTTTGTATATATACATATATGTGTGTGTGTATGTGTATGCACACATACATATATACATATTGTATCTATGTGCATGCACACGTGCGTGCGTGCGCGCGCACACACACACACACACACACACACACACACACACACACACGTCCAGACCTAATTACTCCAGATATCTCCAGCCAGAAGTCCCATAACCATCACAAATTCAGAACATTTACAATGGAATTCAATTTATCATCCCCCCCCCCCCCCCCCCCGGTCTCCAAACTTTCCCATTTTTATTGAAGGTCACAACATCCTTCAAGGCAACCAAGTTTACAACCTTGGAGTAATCCTCAGCTCTTCCCCCTCCTCACACACCGTCCCTCTCTCAACCAATAACGTGCCAACACCCGTCCAATTTGCCTCCATACTAATTCTGGCATCTGTTCCCTTACCTCCACTTGCACCGCCACTACCCATTACAAGCCCTCATCACCTTCACGGAAACTATTCCAACAATTGTTCCCCTAGCTTCTCCCTTCTCTGATCCATTTCCACCCAACTCTTCCTACAGTACTGTTTTGGCTACATCATGTCCTTGCCCAGGAAGTTTCATTAGCTTTCCATTAATTTATCTCTAGGATAAAAGGGAAATTTTTTTAACTCAGCATTTAAAGCCTTTCATAGTCTAGCTCCAACCAAACACTGACATTTCCAGACATTTCAATTTACTCTTTTAACCATGTATCAATCAAACTGGACCTACTTTCTTTTCCCTGAACTTTCAGTTCTATCTCCCACCTCCATAACTTTGCAGAGACTGTTCCCTATATCTGGAAAATACTTTCTTCTCACTTCTGCCTCTTATATTTCCTGCTTTTTTTTCAAGGCTCAGCTCAAGTGCCATCCCCTGAAAAATCTCTACTGAGCCCCATGGCTGTCAACATTCTCCTCCACAATTATCTTACGTTTATTTATCTGTGGAAGGGTTGTATATAGAATATAAGCTTCTTCAGTAAAAAGGTTATTTTTCATTTCTTCTTGGCTCACAGGAGATGGTTAATGGAAGTCTGCTGAATTAATTGTTGAGTGGTTTTCCCCCCCACAAAGTTTTCATGCCATGTTTCACAAATAAAACAGCAATTTAATATGAGAATAATGAATTACAATAATGTAACTTGTAGAGCACTGAATTAGTTAAAAAAAAAAAACCTAGTTCTGTTCCTCTAAAAACAGGATACTTAAAATATATCCAGCAATAAACTGGCTCCCAAATTAATTAGAGAACAAGATATAACTAACCTACTAATTATTCACAGACCTTAATCTAATCTGTAACTTACATCTCAACTTCTCTTATTCCATATCTGAACTAAATTTCGTGTCATTCAACTATTTAATGAGATTTCTCCATTTTCAAAGTCAATACTGCCAGTTTCTTAAGTTTTTCCTCTTTATGAAAGGCAAGCCACTTTGAATTAACATATAGTCTCTGAAGAAGTCAATTAAAAGTAGAACATAGTCATGAACCTAAAATAAAACTTCTAACTTCTCTCAATACTTAAGAAAAAATGATTCCAACAAAATGACAGCGATAGTAATCATGCTTGGTGCCTGTGACCTGCATCTATTCAACCTAGAGGAGCTAGCTGGATTCTCTAATGGAAGAATAACAGGAACAGAAGCAAAAAGATGAGAAGGGATGAAGAGGTTGTGATCTACACCAGCACAGGCAGGAAGCCCCTGGACTGACAAAACTGGTATAAATATAAGCCTATGCTACAGCTTCCCAAAGGACTATTTTGATTGACTGAACATAACATACACAAAATCCTTGCAATAAAAGCTATTTCTTTGGTTCAATTGTCATAAGTTTACTCTAAAGACACTGTATTTTATCTCTTTGAAGGAGAATTACAGGGAGGAATCTGATGCTTACCCGAAATCCAGACAGGACTCTCCACGACATAATGCCCACTCCAGGGCTCCTGAGCAGTCATTAGTCCATCTCTCCCAAAAGGTAGCTGCTGATAGTAACTAGCCACCAAGTTCCAAGCGATTGTGCTGAAAAATTGGTTTGGCAAATGAGAAAGACCACAATTACTTCATGATGCAATTAAATCTGTATAAGCTTGAAGCTCCCCAACCCCAACAGTTTTGAAAACTCTTAGATAAACTTCCTTTTTCTCAAAGAAAAAAAAATGTCAAGAACTGTCAAAAAATGTACCTAAAAAAAATTCCTCTTCCCTTAGTTGGATACTTTTCACTTAACAAGAGTTAAGTCATATTTCGTTGTTTTTTTTTTTCTTTTGAGCTTCTAACTTATACCAAATGATAGATCATTCATACCTAAGAGTGTGTTGGTAAATGTTTAACAACCAGCTTTCCAGGAAAAAAATGTATGCACAAACACATTTCAGCTTAATCTGCATCATTAACATTTTCTCCTTCACTTTCTTAAGTCTAGACAGTCAACAAAACAATAAATCATGCCCTGAGTGTAGCATTTGCCAATTTCCAAGGTGTAAATGCTCACAATGAAAATTTAACAATCAGCTCTCTCAAGTCATTTGAGCTGGTTCCAGCATACCCCTGTATAGCTATTTCAGTGAACTGATAAAAATGTGCTCACGCAGACATGTTGCCATTCACATAATTCTGATTCAAGATGCGGGCCCAGCAGCCTCCACCCACTTCATCATTGAAAGTGCTATAATCTTCTGAAGACCAGAGTATTTTGTTGGTTGCCAGGGCTGCAGCTACAGTATGAGTTCCAGGATAATGAGCCCTAAGACAAAAAGGTGGGAGAAAATGAGCAGACACTTTGATATAAGCATCAAAGCTATTCATTCCTTAGTTTTCCATTTCAAAACAAATGGTGAGAAGGTTGAGAAAAGTTTTAAGTAAGCACGAATATGTTTATTTAGAGAACTACGCTGAAACTCATAACGAATCTAAAATATGAATTAAATATAGTAAAATTTCAAATACTCAGGACCCTTGAGGAATGAATCATTCTGGAGTGCTAAATACCCTAGACAACTGAGAATTAATCCTTCAATAAAAGTCCACACTTTTATTTCGCTTTCAATGAAAACTTCGTAAAAATGTACTTCTAGCATATCTTAACTCTAACCAAGACAGTTCCACAATGACATTATTAACAGACTATTATTAAACCCCAACGAATCACAAAACCCAAGAGCAATGTTGCTTGGACAATCACTTGAGATCCACTGTGTCTATGAATCTAATTTCCTCTTGTAATTCTGTTTTCAATTTAATACTGTGTTTTTATGAAACCAATTCACTTCAACAAATATTAATCACTTATTACATGTAAGGAGTGAGGCCAACCTATTAATACAAGGATAAAAAAATAACACAATCCCTGCCCCGGAGGAGCTTCCTGCGGGCTCCCTCACTCCCCTCCACCCCACACCCTTTCCCTACTCCAGGAGGAGTAGTACACATATGTAAGAATAATGCAAGTACACAGTAATCTGAGCAAAAGTCAAATTAAAATGCTCTAGGAAAATCTGAGGAGCAGGTAGGGGAGGTAGATTGGAAAAGGCCTCAGGAAGGATGAGACACTTAAACAGAATCTAGAAGGAAAGCCTTCAATGGGCAAAGATAAGAAAGGAATCAACTTCAAGCACTGGGGACAGATGAGTTAGAAGACAGTGGGGTAAGTAAATAGCTACTGGTCCAGAGCTATCTAATGTCTGTAGTAAGAGTTCTTAACCTGAGATTCGTGGATTTGTGATTTTCAATATTTTAACGGCTACTTCAATACATCTGGTTCCCTTTGTAATCCAATCTTTTATTGTAGGCATTTAAAAACAATCTTCTGAGAAGGGCCCCTTGGCTTCACCAGACTGCCAAAGGGGTCCATGACACAAAAATGATGAAGATCCCCTAGACTGGAGGGGCTGAGTGAAATGCTCACGTGGCTCACTTAACAATTAAGTATTTGTGATTTTGGGCAATCCTGGAGGGCAGGCACCATGTCTCTCTCTTTTTTTTCCCCCCCTTAGGAAACTGGGGTGAAGTGACTTGCCCAGGGTCACACAGCTAGTAAGTGTCAAGCGTTTGGTCTGAGGCCGGATTTGAATTCAGGTCCTCCTGACTTCAGGGCCAGTGCTCTATCCACTGCGCCACCTAGCTAGCCCTACTATGTCTTACATAATTCTGCACTTCCACTATTACCTAGGACACTGCACTGCACACCCCAAACAAGTCACTATCAAGTGAATGCCCATTATTTCTTTTAAAGAGAAAGATGAGCAGGTTTCTCTTTCTCAGAACCTAGTACAGTGCTCTTCAAGGGTTAATGGTTGTTTGCTGTCATTTTCCCAATGTTTCAAAGATGGAAGTAACCAGCCTCCAGCTCCCATTACACCTAGAAAAGACAAAGTAATTTATAGATGAAATTATAACAACTCACTTATTTCATTTAACTTCTTTTCTAGCTAAACCATATTAATCATTAACATGAATTCTAGCTGAACTGTATTTATTAATCATTAACATGAATTACCTATTTTTTTCAAGATTTAAGCAGGTCTTCAAGCAGTTTGTAAAAGGGCACTATGGAAATTTCCATTTTAATTATGGCATATGCAAACTTTAAAAAGATTTTTAAATTCTAATGTTAACTACCTAGGCTCTGAAGTTTTCCAAGTCCAAGGACCAGAGTGACTACACCAGTCAAGTTTTACTTGCTGAGAAGGATTCAAGTGAATCAAAACACTTGCAGGCCTACAACCATCAGATCCATAGCCTTAGGAAACCAGAGGCCCTGTCCTTTCTAGGAATCAAGGACTGGAAAAGCACAGTGCTCACTTCCATGGGGCCTTCTAGCAATGGTTATTTCCATGTTCTCTCTACCTCCCATTCTGAAATTCAGACATCCATGGCTGGCAATGAAAGTGAGTTCCTGGAGCACTTGGAGTAACAAACCATTTGCTACTAACAGCACTTGCCCACAACATCGTGCTCAGTTATTACGAAATCTCAGAAGATGAGGGTTTCAATCAACTGTTGGTCTTCCTATCTCATAGCTGACAAAAATGCCCTCTTCTTGCCCCCTTTACCTCTGTGACTGAGTCAATATAAAAAAAAAATCCTTTCTCCCACTATATCTCAGTGGGCCCTACCCCTTCACATACCTTATCTTCTTCTGTCCTTCCCATGCACCATGCCTCCTGGAACTCCAGTTGTATTATTAATAAACTCCCCTTCTTCCTAGATCTCCTCCAAATCTTTCCATCTTGTGGTTCTCTAAGAAACTTGGCTCTCTCCAGAAGACAGTTCACTCTGGGCCACCTTTTATCATGCTTCCCAACACACTGGGCCACACAGACTATCCGTATACCGCATTCCTTACTACCATTTCTAGACCCTCTTACGGAATACCCCACAAGTCCATACTACCCCATCCAGAACCTTGACACAGTTATCTTCTGACTTTCAGGTCAGCCTTACTGCTGTCTCAAGGAGTTCACTACTTTGCTCAGGGTCATTTCCATCCTAAACTTGGCCTTCACACTTAGGGACTTAAATACATAATACACCAATGGATGTCCTCTTAAACATCCTGGATTCTCAGTTCATCAGCATCCTCAACTTCCACTGTAAGCTGTCCACCACTACACAATGATCTCCCCATCCCCTAGAACTCTGTGGCCTCCCCTAGCCAAGTTTCATCTACTCAGACTATCACCTACACTCCCTCCTTCTACTGATGATTTGGACTCCACTCCTGAGTCTCTCTCAGCTCTGACAAGTCAGCTTTTACCTTATCTTGCTTGGCCATGTCCTTATTGTGCACCTTTGCCCAATTATCCTCCCTCAAACCCCATGATCTACTGCATCCTTTATGTATTATCTTTCCTCATTAAAATGTAAGATGCCTGATAGCAGGGACTGCTTCCCTGCCCTCTTATATCCACAATGCTTAGCATAGTTCCTGTCATACAGTAGATGCTTAATAAGTACTCTAGCTAGCTAGTTATAACTCTGCTACTTATCTCTAATGAGAACTTCCCATTCTTTCAATTCTCTATCTGCAACATTCCTTCTAAACCAATATTCTTTATTTTCACTAGGACCACAGTCCCTCCACTCCTCTCCATTCTCCTGGTCCTTCGACGTCACTTTAGCTTTACTTTTCTCCCTTCACAGTCTTAACCTGAGGGTGGACCAATTTCACTATCCTTGAAATCCCTGTCCCCTTGTCCTATTGCTGCCTGCACCTGTCTCAAGGAGTTCACTACTTTGCTTCACTACCAACCCCAACCATGGGTTACTCATATCACCTGTCTTCTAAGTTTCTTTTCAAGTGCTGCTGCAAAGCCATGTAATTATAATAACCAGATCCAATAAAAACAAACAATATCTTACCTCAACTGGCCCTTGCTGCTGCATGGCAAGACTTTCTATTCTTTTCTGACATCATCCAAAACTTTCCCTTCTCTCATTAAGCTCCCCAAACAACCGCCGCTTTTTATGGATCCATTCCCTTCTTAGCAGTAAATCTCACCTCCTATTTCACTAAGATGGAAGGCTTTCTGTTGTGAGTTCCCTCTTCTCTCTTACATCACAACCCCAAATCCCATTGCACCATCCCTACTCTCTCCTCTGGGCTCATCTATTTTTCAAGGTTAAGGCCCTTACTTCATTCCATTGCTCTCTCTCACCTTTAATCTTTCTTGCATTCTGCCTTCAGGCTCTATTAATAGACTGAACTGTCCTCTGTCAGATCGGCACAGATCTCTTAACTGCTAAATCTAAAGGACTCTTCTCAGTCTTCAACCTACTTGATCACTATGTAGCTGCTGATACTGTCAACAACTATTCATCCTGGAAATTCTCTCCCTCCCCACCCACATAAACATATCCTATCAGTCACCAAAGTTTTGTCTTCTTCTCCCTCTTCATCTGTCATATCATCTAGACCCTTCTGTCTTTTCACAAGACCATTACCCTAGTTCACAGCCTCATCCCCTCTCACCTCGACTATTACAACAGCTCCCTAATTGCTCTGAGCCCTGCTTCTGGTTTTTCTCCTCTTCAAACCCTCATCCACAGAGTTTCTAAACTAACATTTCCAAAGACACAGGTCTGACTATGTTAATCCCCTATTAAAAATCAGTAGTGACTCCCTACTACCTCTGGGAAAAAAATCAAAACTCCTCAAGCTTAGGGGCATCTAGTTGGCACAGTGAATAGAGCTCTGGCCTTGGAGTCAGGAAGACCCGAATTTAAATACAACCTCAGACACTTGACTCTTACTAGCTATGTGACCAGCTAAGCAAGTCACTTAACCCCTATTGCCTCACCAAAAAGCAAAAGACAAAAACAAAACAACAACAGCAAAAAAACCTCCTCAAGCTTGCACTTAATGTCCTCCACAATATGGTTGCCACCTTCTTTTCCAAATAAATGTTACTCCTTTATCTTCACACACCTTATGTTCTAGTTAAACTAGCCTGCCAGCTATTTCCTAAATTTGACTTCCTATTTCCCACCTCCAGACTTTTGAACAAGTTAGACTGCATGTCTGAATAAGTATTCTTTCGTCATCTCTGCCTTAGAATTTGTAGGTTCTTTCAAGGCTCTGCTCAGGTACCATGAAAAAGCCTTTCCTGAGCCTCCCAACTGTTCATGTTCTCTCCTCAAGTTTTCCTGCATTTACAGGACAAAGTCGCCTAAAATAACATACCCTCCTCAAAGGCACTATTTCATCTTTGTCTTTGTATTCTTAGGATCTAGCCCACAATCTTG